TAGGAAACTCCTTTCAGTTAAATTAGTCTTTAATGTTTCTTTCCCAACTATATACGTTAACAGAACGTTTTTTCTCCCCAGTTTTAGTGTATCACGTGTGCCATTCCACTACAGTAACATTACCTTGCAAAACATAGTCCGTGATAAAATGGTTCGTATTTACGGTTTTACTGAAGTCTGACACTAATAAATAGTTCGGATGTCACATACGTTTTTTCCCACTTTTTGTAGTTCGGTTTCAAATGAAACAACCGCGGAAAAATGGCCGTGCGTAGTGAGGTGATTGACCACAAAATTGAAGGCTGCCTGTGGCAGAGGCACTATTGCGTAAAGCGCAAAGGCCTCTGGGAAGGAGATTGTCCTCGGGGCGGAGCTACGTCACAAGACGTTACACGTTGCTAAGACGCGCACCACTGTACCACGTATTTCTACGGGCTACGCGCGCGCTGCTGAGAAACGCGGAACGCCGAGCGAAGAGCCGGTGAAAATTCAAGAAAACAACAGGAACTCAACTTTAAAGTAATTCTGAACAATCACATTTATATGCGTTACATACGCAGCGGGTAATCTTGTTACACTGTTCAGGGGAGTCTCAACAACCATCCCAAAGTACCGTTTTCTGGGAGTTTTCGGTCTTTGTTTTCACCGTGATGGTTGCCATGCGATGAAAATGCCCGGATTTCCCGGAAGTAGCGAGACTGGGGTGCAAAAAGACTTTGTCATAGCTGAAAAAACAAACATGTCAGTTTGCTTATAGTCGATAGAAGGGAATTGTTATTGTTGTGACGTCGATTGGTGCAGCCAGAGGGACAATATCACGCGTGCAAGTTTGAGTAACATCCCAAAACGGCTTGCGCGCGCATGTGAAACGCCGTATCTTCGACTTCCGGGAAAGTTGCGCATTCATCGTGTGTGCGCTTGCGCATATTGCCTGACCCACAAACCGGAAGGTAGTGCCGATTTTGAACTTTCCAAACGCGCAGAGTTGCAGTGCACCACCGAACATCAGTTTCCAACTCGCAACGTAAAAAATCCCCTGAAATAAAACCGTTACCATCCTTCAACTAACTCGTACCAGGCTCTGAAAATGTGCGCACTATTCTGTCTAAGCAAGAATAACGAGGATACAAATTATCTTTGGCTATAGCGTAATATTTTCATATTTTTGCGCGTATTTTAGGATTTGAAAAACTATGTCACGCACGTCATCCCTACTTCACTGAAAAATCATCCTTCTCAACTAGAAATCCACGTTTCTCAACTGTCTTAAATAGTTCTTCTAGATGCCCCCGTTTGTACCACAGACCTTTCTAAGGTCTATGTTTGTACCCACCCACACTCACACCGCTATCTTTATAAACTGTTTCAAATATGCCGCTGACTTCTTCCGGGTTGCATGTCTAGCGGTGTATTTTGACTTTTTATATATAATTTCTGTTCTACCCTCGCCCGTTGTTCGGTAAGTTACGCATGCGCAAGCAGAATTACATCGCGTCTGATGATAATTCGCAACATGCGTTGGAAATTCTATAAATACATAAATTGTGCCATGTGGCCGCGGGTAAGATCCGGTAACATGTTAATATCTTTCTGCGACTCTGTCAGTGACATATATGCTTCCGGTTGTCTTTTGATTTTTTTCTTTCTGTCTGTCTGATTATTTTTCATAGAATATAGGTGACGAGATGGTGCCGCTCTGTGTTTATTGGGATTTTGAACTCAGGTACGATGTAACTAGATTAAAATGTGTGATTACAAATAACAATTGTCGGTTTTCCGTGTAGTAATTTAAAGCGGGAGGATCGTCACCTGTGCACGCGCGGGAATTGAGTCTCAAAATGCAAGCGACGATAACAACACTTGCTAAAAACGCGAAGGCTCATGGACAGACGCTTGTTTGTAAATAATGACACACTATGGCCTTCTGACGCATGCGCAGATGACGACTCGACCGCTTTAAACACTGTGCATCAACAGCGAACCACCCCTGCCCCTGCAACATCATGTGTGTAGTCACCAACATAAGTGAATTTGAATCATTC